TTGTCTCGGATTCTCCAGCATCTGCAGTTCCTACTATCTCTGATTCACCATTAGTGACACTTTGCCTGGAATCTCACAGCTGTTTTTCTGTTACAGGTGTAAGTCTGGCTGGCAGGGAGAGCTATGTGATCAGTGCATTCCTTTTCCTGGCTGTTTACATGGGCTCTGCACCAAACCTTGGGAATGTGTATGTGAGGAAGGTTGGTCAGGCAGCCTCTGTGACACAGGTTTGTTGATTCATGCTGCGTTTTGCAAATTCTGTAAAATCTGTAAAACTGTAAAATCCCATACATAATTTAAAAACAACTAACAAATATCTAGATTATTTTTGAGCCTTACCAAAATTTGGGTTTCGAAAACCGATCAGGAAATTTATTCATTGGTGAACTTTTCATTTTGAAGATGGGAACTTATCTAGAAATATTCAGGTGACCTTTTAAAAACGTATGATTTTATATGAACTTTATTTTTTGTGTTTCAGTATTTTTCTTCCAGGTGGTTAACATTTTATGGTAATTTAAAAATAAGAGAAAGAACCATTATATCCTTAAATGGAGTTGTGCTTGCTCAAATATCACTTTTCTACCCTTTTCCCATAGCCATTTTATATTTTTCTTTTTCAATTGTGTTAAGTGATAATATAGTTTCCTAACCTAATAGCCACTTATGGTAAATTTTTCTAAAAAAAAGTGTAAAAAATGCATTCTCCTTTTGTTACTCTAATTATAATGCTGAATTTATGCCTCATTTGCCAATTTACCAACCAATGGAAACAATCTTTCAATTATTTATCCTTTCATGATTATTCTTACTTTGAAACATCTTTCTCTTTAACCATCTCCAAATCAGTGAATAGTAATTGATTGCTTAAAGCTATTATCCAGACAGCTCCTGAAGAAATAAAATTGTGTTTTGCGTTACTCAGTCTTAAGGCTGATTAAAGACTTGGATACACCTCCTTCTTCCTGTATCCTTGTCGGACACACACCTTGAGTACCTCCACACACTTGGGACATCTACCCTTTGTATGTACATGATCCCAATTTGTGCGATTTGGGGCAAGGTCAAGAATAATTATGGTGAATAGAATCACCACAATATCATGCAATATTATTAAAAGAGTCTATGAATCCTTGTCTCATGAAGTTGAACTACAACCAAGGTCTATAATTTTCTTTCTAACTCCTTAGAGATGTAACTTTCCATCCTCCAAGCCTTTGGAAGAAATGCTGTCCTAAAAGAATTTAGTGCAGACAATTTTGGCATGTGTCTCTACTTCATACTCCCCAGACTCCCTCAGTTTCTGGGATACACACCAGCTGGATCTAGAGGTCAAATTCTATCAGCTCCATTCCTGTCATTAATAACATAAACAGACAAGAAGCATGACAAATTCGACTTGGCCAATTGCTGCCCTACCATGTCTTTGACAGTACAATCAAGTGGCACATAGAGGAATCCAGCTCCTTACCATATAATAGCCTTAGTTCAAACATGGACAAAAGAGCTGAACTGAAGAGGTAAGATTGGAATGACTTCCCTTAACATCAAGACAGCATTTGACTGAGTGTGGCATCAGGAGGCCCTAATAAGAACAGAGTTAATGTGAATCAGGGCAAGCTACTGTTTTTTTTTCTCTTACTCATTCACTGGATGAAGGCGTCACTGACCAGGCAGTGTTTATTGCCCATCCCTAATTGCCCAGAGGGCAGTTGAGAATCAACTGCATTACTGTGGGTCTGGAGTCACATGTAGGCCAGACCAGGTAAGGATGGCAGTTTCCTTCCCTAAAGGGCATTAGTGACCCAGATGGGGTTCTTTCCAACAATCAACAATGGATTTATGGTCATCATTAGATTCTAATTCCAGATATTTTATTGAATTCAAATTCCATCATCTGCAGTGGCAGGATTCAAACCTGAGACCAGAGCATTATCAGGGTCTCTGGATTAATAGTCTAGTGATAATAACACTAGGCCATTGCCTCCCTGAACCCAGTTGGAGTCATACCAGTCACAAAATAAGGTGATTGTGATTGTCTCAGTCTGAGCACATCATTTCTGTAGTTCCTTATAGGGATGTCTGAGGTCCAGTCATTGCCAGTTCCTTCATTAATCACATTCCCACTTCCATAATGTGGGGATAACTGCACAAAGTTCAGCACCATTTGTGACTCCTCAGATACTGAAGCAGTCCATGCCCAACTGCAACAAGATGAATGACATTCAGATTTGGGCTTACAAAATCATTGTGTAAGGGATATGTCCCAGGTCAGGACAATATTCTCTCAAATTTTTCTGATGTCTGTACATGGCAGTGACTTCCAGAACCAAAATTCAATATATTGCACAGCAATCAGCAGCTGTGATTGCGCAGTTTAGAGGGTGGGGTTGTAGGGTGGGAGGGAAATGTAAGAGCTTTGTCACATATACATATATGGGAGGTGTTTAGTAGTGTAGTGGTAATGTCACTAGATTAGTAATCCAGAGGGCTAGGCTAATGCTTTGTGGATAAGGGCTCCAATCCCAGCCTGGGAGTTGTGGAACTTAAATTCAATTTTTAAAAACAAAACCTGAAATATATAAAGCTAGTCTCATGATAGCCTTTGTTCAAACATGGATAAAAGAGCTGAACTCAAGAAGTGAGGTTAGAATCTCAGACATGGTGGCCATGAAGCCATAATTGATCATTGTAAAAACTCATTTGGTGCACTAATGTCCTTTGGAGAAAGAAACCTGCCTACCTTATCCAGGCTGGCCTACATGTGACTCCAGAATCATAGCAATGTGGTTAGCTCTTAGCTGCCATCTGAAATGGCTTTGGCAAGTTTATCAGTTCAAGGGAAATTAGGAATGGGCAACAAATGCTGGCCTTGCCAGCAATGCTCATATCCCATCAAAGAATAAAGGATAAAAAACTGAACGAGTGCTATTCCTGCTCCTCTGCTAATTCACCACCAGGGTAAGAATTCAGACCATTAGGTGAAAAAATCTAATTATTTTCATGGCTAATTCTTGCTTTTGGATTGATTCTTTTCAAGATTTCGAGTTAGACATTAATAATAGGTTGATTAAAAATGCAATGTATTCTTTTTAAAAATGATTGCATTTCTTTCAGCATTAAGACAATCAAGATAGTGATCACTAAGAACATGCTGAGGGAATATAAACAAGGCATAGAACATAAAACATAGAACAGTACAGTACAGTATAGGCCCTTCAGCCCACGATGTTGTGTCGAACTTTTATCCTAAACCTAAGGTCTATCTAACCTCCACCCCTACCTTATACTATCATCCATATGCCTATCTAATAGCCACTTAAATGCCCCTAATGAGGCCGACTCCATTACCCTCTCCGGCAATGAATTCCATGCCCCTACCACTCTCTGAGTAAAGAACCTACCTCTGACGTCTCCCTATATCTACCTCCACTCACTTTAAAACTATGCCCCCTCATAATAGCTACCTCCACCCTAGGAAAAAGTCTCTGGCATAGCATTAGAACTCTACTGTTCTCAACTGTATCTATGTATAATCTGGTGCATAAATTACAATTTAACTTATACTTCAAGTGAAATAATTTGAATTAAAAGTTAAATGCTTTCCTAATTAATGTATCTATACTCATATGTGGTTTCTCTAGCCATGATTCTCTAACTTATAATCTAATTGTGGGGTTGACATATTCAGTGGCAACTGACTAACAAACCCCATCATGAGTAAGCTCATCAAATCCAGCTCCAGTCAGTTTGCTAAGAGCTGACCAGTGAGCTTCTCAGCCAATCACATGTCTTGACCAATACTTTCTGGGTCCTAACCACTGTTGGATGAGACCCAGTCTTCAGGAGACTCACTGGTGAGAAGATAAGGCATTTTAAAAAAAATTCTCATGGAGGCACATCGGGGCAAGGGGGGGAATTTCAGTGGCCTTCCATTGGCTCCCCTTCTCTGCCACTGATTGGCACTAGGTTGTGATAAATGGGGCAAATTCAACCTGACAGGCAGGTCATCCTGGTTTCCCACTAAACCATCAATTTCTGTGCCTGCTGGGAAGAGAGTTAGTCAGGACACTGGCAAATTGGTGCCCTTTAAGGGACTTAATTACAGGCAAATCAAGAAAGGAGCTTTCTCCCCCAGCACTTAGTAGCTGAGGTGGTGAGAAAATGGCAAGTATCTGTCCAAGGCAAATTCTTTATTTATTCATTCACAGGATGTGACATCATTGGCTAGGCTAGCATTTATTGGCCATCCCTAATTGCCCAGAGGGCAGTTGAGAGTGAACCACATTGCTGTGGGTCCAGAGTCACTTGTAGGCTAGGTAAGGATTACAGATTACTTTCCCTAAAGTGCATTGATGAATCAGATGGGTTTTTCCTGACAATTGACAATGGTTTCATGATCATCATTAGACTCTTAACCTCAAGATTTTTATTGAATTTAATTCATGGCAGGATTTGAACCCAGTACCCCAGATTATTATCTGGGTCCCCGGATTAATAGTCTAGCGATAATACCACTAAACCATTGCCTCCCCCAATAGCTTTCCTAACCATTTGGCCTTCTTTACTACCTTCCTTGCAAACTTCAAGGAGAGGAATTTCACCCTCCATTTTAATTAATTGCATTATTTTTCATTACAGCCTCCAACAGCTGTTCACCTGCTCACCCCTGCGCTAATAATTCTACATGTATAGAGAGCGAAGATGGTGGCTACATATGTGTCTGCGGACAGGAGTTTATAGGAACCCATTGCCAACTTCGGAAAGGGTCCTGCCACAACAAACGGTATGGGATGCATGCTGCATGCTATCCATATGACAGGATTTCAGGCAGCTCGCAACAGATTCTAAGACAGACATTAGAAGCGAACTATATTTGGATGATCTGACCTCATCCATTCAGAATGATCCCAATGTCCTCCTCTGCAGCAGTCAAACTATTCATAAATAATTCCAAGCAATTTTCCTCTGATCTTAGACTAGACAATCCTAAATTTTCCTTTAAGTTCAATTTGTGACCACTTTAACTTGTTCATTTTGATTTCTATCATGTCCAAATGCCTAAGAGAGACCTAAGCTCCAAAATAATAAATTTATACATGCATTCATCCCAATGCATGTGTATTCATATCAGTGATTGATAAACTGCATTATACTGCACTGGAATTAATCTAATTGCTTTACTGCATTTCTGAAAAAGTCATATTGAATAATAAATCCAAAGCTGCAAAAGGTTACTGTTTAACTGGAGTTCACTGAACAGCAAGTGGTTTAAAAATCTCTTTGGCAGATCCATATATAGAACAATATTCAATGATATAACAAATTGGAAGAAAGAAAGAGGCTTTTCAGCCTATTGTACTTGTGGTGAAGGTAGCGCTTCAACCATAAAAATGTATCTAATTGCACTTCACTTTCCTTTCTCCATATCCTTTCAAATTCTATACAATGCCTCCCTTTCAAATTCTATACAACCCCTACTTAAATGAGGTTTGCACTCTGCACCTCAAAGGTCAATTATATTTTGGCCATTTAGCTCAACAGGTTTTGCAGTTAGAATCTATCTTTCCTTTAGAGTTGATGGCTGCCTTTAAGGGTCTTGATATTAGGTTCTCCAGAGAACTTTCATTCAATGATATGGACAGCTGTGAGTGACTGTAACCTGCTGGCAGCACAGATTTTACATATTGTCTACAATACTTGTAATGGTGATATAAATCTGCATCATTCCCTGTTTTCCCACACAGCTTGTCATATGCTCTCCAATTCCTTCTCAAAGAGTGAGATATGGCTGGCAAATGCTAAGTATTGCCATTTCTCTGGAAACGGAGGAACACCAACTCCAAGATAAAAATGAAAACCTTTCAGTTAAAATTATATTTCCAAGTGTGAATCAATTGACAAATTATGGGAAAAGACTGTACATCCTATCTGAATGTTTGTTTGTAAATCAATTTGTCTATATTGTATTGAATTATTTAATAATATATTTATAATTATTAGTGCATATTTATCAAGTCATTGCAGGACTACCTCAAAACTACAAATAATGTATAGTCACAATGCTACCATTTACCAGTCCACTGCTGTAAGTGTGTTTATGGATGTTATTTTACAAGTTGAAGTTTATGTATATATGTATTTTTTATCATAGTAACTGTGCAGATTTGTTATTTACTATGAATGTTTTACAGTGAGAAGACCAAAACAAGGTTTTCTTGTGACAATAGACTTGTACTGTATATGGTAGCTCTAAATTATGCAGTAGATAAAAACCCATAGTTAATTGGAAAAGCGTGGTACAACTTCCGAAAGCCTGTCCATCAAGACACAAGTCAGGAGTTCAAATGCAGTGCTTCCTATTTGCCTGGATGGGTGCAGCTTCAACAACACTCAAGAAAGTTGACGCCATCCAGGACAATGCAGCTCATTTGATTGGCACCACACCCACAAGCATCTATTCATCCACCACTGACGTTCAGTAGCAGCAGTGTGTATTATCTACAAGATGCACTGCAAAAATTCAATAAAGATCCTCAGAAAGTAACTTCCAAACCCACAACCACTTCCATCTAGAAGGACAAGGGCAGCAGATACATGGCAAGTTCCCCTTCAAACCACTCACCATCCTGACTTGGAAATATAAGGACATTGTGGGTGAACCTACAGTACATGGACTGCAGTGGTTCAAGAAGGCAGCTCACCACCACCTTCACCAGGGCAATATATGCTGGCCAGCCAGTGATACCCATGTCCCATGAGTGAATAAAAAACCTGGCTTTGTCATAACAAGCTGAGAGAAGTTGCAGCATCACCTCCAGAAAAAGCAAAAGCCTTTCTTAATGCTAGGGCTGATTTTCCTTTCTCTGTGCCTGGAGCAATTACACTGATGCCCTTAATATTGTGAAACAAGGCATAGAGAAAATCATGATCAAAAGGCACCAGAGTGATATATAAAAAAGGAAACTTTAAATTAATGGACAAGAAAAGGCTCAGTTTGAAGTATGTGTTTCTCCCACATAACTTCCCTCCATTAAGTACATGCAGGTGATCCAATCTCCCAAGGAGGAGAACAGAAAAATCCCATAATTTTATTAGTAGGAACAATGCCCATTACTCCAGGAAGTAAGAATAGCAGACATTATCATTTCATGCTAACATTGGATTCTAAATAAGTTGGTGTCACAGTTTCAAGGTTATTGATACATTGTAGATGAATCAATTCAATATCTGTTATTTACCTATTTGATTACAGGCCACTTTGTCAGAATGGAGGAAGCTGTTTGGATGATAATAGGTTCACATCCAAGACTTATTGCCTCTGTTTGCCTGGTTTTACTGGTGACTTTTGTGAAATAAGCATTTATAACTGTCACCCAAACCCTTGTGCCAACAATGGAAACTGCACAGATCTGTTTTCTGGATTCAGCTGTGTTTGCCCTAGTGGATTCACTGGCAAATCCTGTGACTATTCAGTCACATCTTGCCTTAGCCATCCATGTCAAAATGGAGGAACTTGCCATGACCATCTTGGAGGAGGATTTTATTGTGCTTGCCTACCTGAATATGAGGGAGAAACTTGCCAAGAACAAACATTTGAGAGTGTTAATCATGATGCCAAGCACAATGTTTCTAAGTATGCAGGAACACATTGGATCAGACGTGGCAAACCCCTCCAAAGACCACTGCATAAATCAACGCATCAACAAGGTAATGGGATGCTAACAATCACAGTCAAAGAAACCATCCATAAATCCAGCTCACTGCTCAATAGTAGTCAAGTGATCTGTTTTACTGTGCTTGGATTATTGACATGTCTTGTGATCCTGGGGACTACAGGGATTATCTTCTTCTCAAAGTGTGAAATTTGGCTGGCAAATGCTAAGTATCGTCATCTCCTCTGGAAACAGAGGAAGCATCTCCTCCAAGATAAAGACGAAGACCTTTCAGTCAAAGTTATCTTTCCAAGTGTGAATCAATCAACAAACTATGGAAGAAACTATACAACTATCTGAATGTTTGTTTGTAAATGAATTTGTGTAAATTATATTGAATTATGTAACAATATATTTATAATTGTTAGTGCATATTCCAGCATTTTGTAATAACTGTATCATTTGAATGTTTTTGATATTTGTTATATTTAGAAAGATATACATGAATTTATGTGAATTGTAACTTGAACAAGTGGGAACTTATCACAATATAATGGTATATTTAAATTACCACAACACTGTAACATGTAGAATTGGATAGCAATGAATTAAATCCTCTTTTAATTGTGCACAATCTGCTAGAACCTGACACAAATGAATCCTACTTTTGTCTGAATTCATGTTTTATATAGTCTGCTTCAATAGATTTAGCTACCGCGTCTAAAAGTTGACTTTCATATGGTTTATGTTTGAGGGGTTGATTAGTTTGTTTGATTTGGACCCGAGTGATATTCACAAAAAGGTTGTCTCAATGGAATAAAGTAAAAAGCAACAACACTAAAGAATTCCTGATAATGATCAAATATTTATTAATTTTATAACATGATTTCTTAGCAGCATGCTAGATATTATCTACTGATAAGTAATCATAATCGCATCTAGATTTGTCACTCATAATATGGTCAATTTAATCATTTGAACGAATTAAAAGCAATAATTAAAAATGCTATATAGCAATTATTTACCAGTGCTCATTTTCAATAGAATTTCACATTTATTATGGAATTGAATCATTAACATTTCCAGGATTAGCCTTTATTTCTGAAACTTTTGATCTTCGAGCCCTGAAAACTCGGGTTGACTTTTACATGAAGGATATGAAAAATTATGTTTTGTTTACACTTTAGATGAAAAATCATAGGGTCGACTTTTACATTAGGTCATTTTATGAGAAATGTGACATTTGACGTTAAAATACTCAAAAGCTTAAGATTCTCATGTATAACTTGAAAATTTTACTATCGCAATCTCACAGTATTGATACAAAGTTAATTTTCCATCATAAATGCATTTTAAAAATTCATTTAAGAGCCATTGACCAAATAGTCACTTAAGTTTGACTGCCTAATGATATGTGGCATCGAATAAATAGAACTGTGTAGTCAGTGATAACTATCTACAAGGTTAATTGTTCACTTAATATGCTACTCAGCAAGCCTTTTGTTAGAAATGTGTCAAGAGACTAACTCACTGTTTCTAGATTTATAGATTCAAATCCCAACCAAACATGAGAGACAGTTTAATTGCCACAGATAGCTGTAAAGGTGGTAAGTCAGAAAGGAAGGACATGCATTTACATAGTGCCAGCCATCAGGATATCTCAGTCAATAAATAGTTATTGTAAAGAAACACGCAGCCTACTCCATTGATCAGTGAAACAGAAATGAGATAATTTCAGTCCTGTTATGATTTTTATAAAGACCAACAATTTTTAAAGTGAAATTCAACTTCTAGTTAATAGCTGAAGAAATGGCATAAGTTTTCACATTTTAAGATTTTTACTATTACAAGCAAACCATGTGCAAAACACTAAAAATAAAAGCAAAATACTGCACCTGCTGAAAATCTTTAAAAAAAAGGATATGCTAGAAGAACAGAGCCATTCTGGCAGCAATGGTGGAGAGAAAAATTGAATTGGTGTACTGAGTTCAATATGATACTTCCTTGCTAATGAAGATACGTAGGAAGGTGGTGAATCTCATGTTGTTGAGAAAGGTAGAACATAGGAACAGAAATAGGCCATTTATCTTATCAAGCCTGTCCCACCATTCAAAACAATCGTAGCTGATCTTTTACTTACTCCAACCCCATAGACCTTTGCAACAGGGGAAGTGATGGCCTAGTGGTATTATTGAGACTATTAACTCAGAAGCTCTGCTAATGTCCTGGGGACCTAGGTTCGAATCCTGCCACAGCTGACAGTGGAATTTGAGTTCAATTAAAGGAAAAAAGAATTGAAGTTAAGAATCTACTGGGGGCCATGAAACTATCGTTGATCATCAGAAAAGCCCATCTGGCTCACTAATGCTGTTCAGGGAAGGAAATCTGCCATCCTCACCTGGTCTGGCCTACATGTGACTGCAGAGCCACAGCGATGTGGTTGACTCTGAAGCATCCCTTGAAATAGTCCAGCAAGCCAAACAATTGTGTCAGTCACTGCGAAGAAATGACAGACAACCTGGCATTGATCTAGGCACAAGAAAAGACAGGAACAGGAACACCATATTGACCCTGCAAAGTCCATCTAACTAACATCTGGGGCCTAGTGCCAAAATTGGGAGAGCTGTCTCATGGACTAGTCAAGCAATAGCCTGACATAGTCATACTCACGGAATAATATTTTACAGGCAATGTCTGAGACACCACCATCACCAACCCCAGATATGTCTTGTCCCACCAGCAGGACAGACCCAACAGATGTGGCAGCACAGTGGTATACAGTCAGGAGGGAACTGCCCCGGGAGTCCTCAATACTGACTCCAGACTTCATGAACTCTGATGGCCTTAGGTTAAACACGAGAAAGGAAACCTCCTGATGATTACCATGTGCCATCCACCCTCAGTTGATGAATCAGTACTCCTCCATGTTAAACAACACTTGGAGGAAGCGCTGAGGGTGGCAAGGGTCCACAATGTACTTTGACTTTTAATTTTTACTACCAAGAGAGGCTTGCAGTAGCATTACCAATCGCGCTGGTCGGATCCTCAAGGATATAGCTGCTGGACTGGTTCTGCCGCACATGGTGAAGGAGCCAACAAAGAGAGAAAAACATACTTGACCTTGTCCTCACCAATCTGCCAGCTGCAGATGCATCTATCCATTACAGTATTGGTAAGAGTGACTATTGCACAGTCCTTGTGGAGACAAAGTGCCACTTTCACACTGAGAATAATCACCGATATGTTGTGTGGCACCATCAACATGGTAAATGGGACAGACTTCGAACAGATCTAGCAACTCAAGACTGGGCATCCATGAGGTGCTGTGGGCCATCAACAGCAGCAGAATTGTACTCCAGTACAATCTGTAACCTCATGGCCCAGCAAAGCCCACACTCACTCAACCATTAATGCAGCCAAAGAATCAAAGCTGATTCAGTGGAGAGTGCAGGAGGTCACGTCAGGAACAGCACCAGGCCTCTACCTGACAAAGTAGAAAATTGTCCAGGTTTGTACTGTACACAAAGAAACAGGACAAATCCAACCCAGCCAATTACCGCCCCATCAGCCCACTCTTGATCATAGTAAGGTTATGGAAGGTGTCATCGACAGTGCTATCAAGCAGCACCAGCTCAGCAACAACCTGCTCAGTGATGCCCAGTTTGGGTTCCGGCAGGGCCACTCAGCTCCTCATTCAAACATGGTTCAATCATGGACAAAAGAACTGAATTCCAGCAATGAAAACAGAAATTACCAGAAAAACACAGCAGAGGAGCTTAATTCCAATAAGGTGAGAGCAACAGCCCTTGGCATTACGGCTGCATTCAACCAAGTGTGGCATCAAGAAGCCTGTTAGATCTCATATTTTCCAATGAGAGTGCAAGTTGCGGGGTTGTTTCAGGTGACCTTTATTTCCAGTACAGCTTAATTTCTCCAGAGCAATAAGCCACACAAAAAGCTTCAGAATTTCTTAACTTATACAATTTAAACTTAGAGCACCTCCCCCCCAACCCATACCTTTGATTACTATTGGTTGGGGTGCTGAGTTATTCCTTTGTAATTGGCTCTCTCGTACAGCATCTTGTACAATTCAAGCTTGCCTCAGCAGTTTCAATGTATTTCCAATTAAGCTAATCATATCACTGAATGACAAAGAGATGGACAGGCTTGTGGTCCATCCCCGGTCCTTCATGATGTTTTCACAGACTTTCTTACCTTCCTTCTTGCAGCTTTGCACAATGGATACTGATTTCAAGTAACAGTTGCCAGCTGGACCATGTTAATTGCCAATTCATCGGATACTTGCACATTACATCAGGACCTTTTAAATACCTCATTACAGCCAATACAAAAAAATATTGATTTTTGATCAGTTTCAAAAGTTATGTGTTTACACCTAATGTTAGAATTCTTTAGCTAACAAGTTGTGTCTTAATGTGTACATTCAATCCACATTTCAATGTCTGCTACTTTCTCCCTGTAATGATATTGTCAGTGTGTGGCGGTGGCGGTGGGATGGGGGTAGGGGGTTGCTACTTTTACTGTCTGAAACTGGTTTGAATCTTTTCCTCTAATGCTTTTAGTGTATATAGTTGGAACTGTAACTACTTCAGAATCTATATCTATGATTATTTGAAGAATCTTAACGAAAACTTACTCTTAGTATTGTAACATAATGATTAAATAATTCAAGAGAAACAACTAATTAGTGTGAAATGATTTTATCTATGTCTTGTGCATAAGCAACTGCAGCTGCACATTCTATGTCAGTCCAGTAACCTTGAGTCGACAGATACGCTCTTGTTCTACTACATTAAGCAAACATTTTCCCAAGCTCTGTAACTACTGTCAGCCATGTTCTACTGCATTAGCCATGGGCAGCCATCGGCGATTTTGTGTTGTGCAGTTGTGGGTAGCCCTAACACATCCTTAGCAAAAATGGAATCATCAGGGGTCAAACTCACTGCTGGTTGGAGTCATATCTGGCATTTAGGAAAATGGTTATGGTTGTTGGAAGCCAGTCATCTCAGCTCCAGGACACCTCCGCAGGAGTTCCTCAGGATAGTGTCCTAGGCCCAACCATCTTCAGCTACTTCATCAATTCCCTCCATCATAAGGTGAGAAGGGGGATGTTTGCTGATGATTGCACAACATTCACCATTCTCGACTCCTTATATACTGAAGCAGTCCAAATACTACAAGATCTGGACAATATCCAGGATTGAACAGAAAAGTGGCAAGTAACATTCACATCGCACACATGCCAGGCAATGGCCATCACCAATAAAAGACAATCTAATCACTGCCCCTTGACATTCAATGATCAATGATGTTACCATCAGTAAATCCCCCACTATTAACATTCTGGGAGCTACCATTGACCAGAAACTCATTGGACTCACCACATAAATACAGTGGCTCCAAGAGCAGGTCAGAGGCTAGGAATACTGCAGCCAGTGCCTCCCCAAAGCCTGTCCTCCGTTTACACGGCACAAGTCAGGAGTGTGATGGAATACTTCCTATTTGCCTAGATGGGTGCAGCTTCAACAACACTCATTGAGCTGGACACCATCCAAGAAAAAGCAGCCCACTTGACTGGCACCACATCCACAAGCACACACTCCCTCCACCACTGACACTCTGCAGCACTAGCGTATACTATC